AAGTGCATTATTTCTTTGAAAATCCTCATTTCTGCTCCTAGCTATTTAGCAGCTAAAACAAATATATAGTTATGATGAGCAAGGCAGTATCTTCAAAAATTGTGAATATATTGGCCCCTGGGTCAGGGATTCTGGTGCCACATTGTAGGATGGGGCTCTATTGATTACAGGGTTTCAGATTGCCACTGGCCATCGGCAATTTGCAGATAAAAATTCAAAATGACTGGAAAAAATAAGATTTAACTGCTGAAATGCCCTATTAGTTTAACACTGAGCAGATTTAATGGCCAATTCAATTCTGTATGTAAAGGCTGGGCTGGTTGTTTTTTTTTTCCATGCAGATTCGATTAATTATTTTAAATTACTTCCTGCAACTGCAGATTTCATCAGCTAATGACAGTCAGGTATTAGATCTTGATCACCAGATAACTATAAGCTATTTCTTGTTGCCGATATGCTTCCTTAAAAATATTGACATGGAGTAGTGGACAAGCACATGCACCCCTGAAGAATAAACTTCAATATTTATTGGGCAGTAAACTTATCAGTTTTAGAACTCATTTGAATGACGTCAATAAAACTGAAGAATAAAAAAAATAAATTTAAAAAAACAGAAAATCACACCAATTTCGGAGTACATGGCTTAGCATTAACCTTAGGTATGACGTTCAAAATGTACGATCCTCTCTTTGGCCTCGGGTAGTAGAGAGCTATGAGAGGACTCCGGTCTGTGCATGGCTTGAGAGAATGGGCATGACAGTGATTAACTAGCATCACTTAAGAATCCAGTAAACAAATAACTTTTAAATGTAAAAAAAAAAAAATCTGAAATAAATAAAATAGATACGATTGAGTTACACTTGTTCAGTATTTTATTTTTATAGTTATTTACCTGACTTCATTTAATTATGCCATGAAAGAATTTTAAAAAGAATTGTATATTTTCAACTATTACTTGGCTAGATAGAATGTTTGAATGTTAAAATGATAAAATGTCCAACGGACCCGACACAGATTATTCTAACTATTAACTGGCCTATAATTTTAGGAAGTTTAGGACAGAATGGCCTATAACTTTTCTGGTAAACATGTGTCTTATAGTTACTTATTTCAATCTGAAACCCTAGATTATACAGTGAAAGTGCATTATTTCTTTGAAATCTACTTCTCTGCCCCTGGGTATTTAGCAGATAAACCAAGTATAAAGTTATTATGAGCAAGGGCAACTCTTTCAATATTGTGAATACCGTATAAGCAGAATTTTTAGTGAGGATTCAATTTTGGCATTATTAGCTAGGGTTCTGACTTCTGAGATTGCTAAAATTGAATATCGCTAACAATTCTGTATCGGTTGTTTTAGCTATCTCTGTTGACATTATAAAATACGGGTAAACTTCGGTATCTCGACATCGGATATGTCGACAACCTGGGATATGTCGACATCCTTCCACGGTCCCGGCAGTATTTAATATATAAATGATTTGCAAAAACTCTGAAATGTTGACCTTGGTAATGTCGACAACCCGGGTTATCTTGACGTATATTCACAGTCCCAAGAGCAAAATTTACCTGGTATATGTCGACATTGGCAATTTTCTGCTCTACTGAACCTAACTGTTTGTCAGAAAGGGTTGCTCGTCAAGACTCCGGGTATCTCGACGTCATCAAAGTTTCACACCTTTCACACCCAAGTTTTGACTGCACGCTGCTTAATTAATTCTATAGACTGTGTTTGTAGGTGAATTCCAAGCCCCTTCGGCATCTTAGAGAAGTTAATTGAGCTTGGGTAATATCATTGCTAAATCTATACAATTCTGCGTTTACAAATGTACAGACGGTTATTTATATCGAAACCTAACATAACTTTTAAATTTGAAAGATAACTAAATTACAATGAATAACAAGCACACTGAATAATTCATACTAAGGAATTAAAAAAAGATGTTTTAATGATATTTTGTAGTTAAAATCATTAAAACATCTTTTTTTAATTCCTTAGTTTGAATTCAACAGGAAACAATCCAATTAACGACACGATTGACCAAATCAGCCTAATTCGTGCATCTGTGCATTTTAACTACAAAATATCATTAAAACATCTTTTTTTAATTCCTTAGTTTGAATTCAACAGGAAACAATCCATTTAATGACACGATTGACTGAATCAGCCTAATTCGTGCATCTGTAACATCACTACGTTAGTTTAGATACACAAATCTCTTTAAAAAATTAATTTTAATGTACATTCTTCCCTATTGAAATAAGAGAAAAAATAATCCGCATTTATTATTTTCCGTTTATCGGATGTCGACTTTATACAGTTTGAAGTTTATAGAGCGCATTTCGTATCCTGTTCTGACAAAAAGGCAAGTTACACGCGAATGCAGCTCAATGCTGTAACTTTGTGCTGAAACTTTGTGAATTTAGAAAGATTTCGATAAAGAACACGTTTTATAAACGAGATTTTTAAAATAATTTCTAAGATTTTTAATAAAAATAGAAGGAATTCTGAAATATGTTGTGCTACAGTCTATATTAAAGTCATGTACATATAATAAGCTTGTCTGTTTTGCTATGCAATGAAATCTTGGACGTCAATTCTCAACTCTGTTATCTCGACACCCCGGATATCTCGAAATTTTCCGATGGTCCCGACGATGTCGAGATAACGAAGTTTACCAGGTCCAGGAAAATCACTATTTTTTAGCTATATAGCTTAATTTACCTATATAGCTTTATTTACCTATATAATATAGCTTTATTTAGCTATTTTAGAATAAGTTTCTGTTTTATGAATAGCAAACAAAAAGTCGCATGAAAATTATGGCTGATATTTTTTTAAAAAGGTTTGATAAAAACAACCTAGGGCATAAAAGGTAAAAACATTGCCTCTTTTAAACACTTTTTAACCAAAAAATGCATCTCTGTTGTTTGGATAGCTGTCCATTACTGGAAGTGCGATGAGGCATGACTAAGTGTGATTGCCTTGCATTGTGCTGAATTATTACCAATCAATTATCTTGTTGACCAAAACTGCTTTTCTTTGTTAAAGTAGCTGCTTATTCACAGATTAACTGTTATACATAGCCCCAAAACTTTTAGATCTTTGATTGCAATTGCACAAAAGGAGAAACATTTTTAAAAGTGGGTTTTTGGTGAATTGTTTTCAGTCCATTTCAAAGTTGAAAACTAATACTGCCTCATTATGCGACTTTTTGTCTGCTTTTCATAAAACAGAAATTTACTCTGAAATACCTAAATAAAGCTATATTATATAGGTAAATAAAGCTATATAGGTAGATTTAGCTATATAGCTAAATATAGTGATTTTCCTACATCTGTTTACCTGTAGCTAAAATTACTTCTCGGAATTCAAATTTGTTCAAATGAAGTCGACATTTTCCTCAATGGGGGAGGTGATTACAAATTACTGTAATTATGAAGTCATCTTCCGGATGCAATTTGTGCAGAACATTTTTATTATATTTCTATATATAAAGAATGTTTAAGTAATCTAAATGCTTTATTAACCCAGACGATTTGCTCAGTAGCACAAGTGTTGGGGATTATTGAGGCACTACAGTATATTTCAAATTGGAATACTCTTCATCATTTTGATAAGGGAGGAAATTCCTTTGACACAATAAACCAGATATAAACCCTATAAATTAGATATTTTGTCGATTCATGATAACAAATTTAAAGCACATGTTTCAAAAATTAAACTTGAGGTAATCAAAAAATTCTTTTTAAAAGTAAAAATTACAGTCTGCCTCTGAACTAAGCTAAATTTTTTGTACTGTCAAAGTATACTGAAATGCAGAAGAAATGCAACATTATATTTTTAGGGGGGGGGGGGGGGTAAATCATATACAGGGTATAACTTTGTACACTGGTACTTAAAAAGTAAACTTTAAGACATCTTCACCTTTGCCAAATCGGTAATTTAAGGGTTGAATGATTTTCATTTTATAACTGGAAGTTAAGTTTGAGCCCATCTAACAGAAATAAAAAATTGCATGTTTAACAAAAAATGTGGAAATAATTTGGGTTTTCAAGGGTAACTGTATCCATTAATCATTAGTATGACACTTATATACAAAAAAAATTCTTCTTTCTTTACCCAAGATTTCCTCAAAATGACTAAAAGCACTCATTTCCATTGCTCTTGCTGGAAATTCTCAAGAGAAAGGTTAAGGAGAGTTGCAGATGCAAATATGCACTGCAACATGACTCATCTAGCTCATATGTATCATAAGAATGAATGAAATTCTTGTACCTGAAGTCCAAGGGTTATTACACAGGTTAGAAAAAATTTGACCTCAGCATCTGAAAAACAGGCACTTAAAAATGCCAAAGAATATATCTTTCACTCAGATCAAGAGATTGATGAATCTAATGCATTATAGAAATGGAGCTGCAATTGCTGTGCATGGCAGACATGCACACTAGCTAGCTGTAATTGAATGGGGGGGGGGGGGTAACAGGTATGGGTTACTTTCTAAGGTTTAAAGATAACATTCAAAGTTTAAATTAAATCTCTGATGTTTTTAAATCTATGTTTTACCTTACTGTATTAATTTTTGAAAATCATTCGATAAAAAAAAAATCAGACCAGATATTTGTAGTTTGCTGCTTGTTGCATTTCTTTTGCATGTCAGTACATGTATATTATTGAGAAGTCAGTATATTATTAAGAAATAAAAAAATTGTGTCAAAATTAAATATATTTCTATCATTTTTTTTTTAGTTTTGGCAGTTTTAAATCAACCAAAAGCATGTCCCTTTCTCAAGATGTGCATATCCATGTTTTCTAGATATTTTACCCATCTTTCTTGTATAAAAGAGACTAACAATACTTATTCCTGAAATCTCAAAGATTTTCATTGAAAACTATGAGAGATACAGCCATATTACTGGTAGTATTAGCCAATAAGACCGTCAATACAATCTAAATTATTGAAGCAGTAACAATGTGCTCAAATTTTGTTCCATTTCAGTTCCATGGAGTAAAATAGACAAGTGTGTTATGTTTTCTTTTTGTCTGGAAATATGGTTGGTAAAGATGACATGGTGGATGCTGAATTGCCATCTCGAGATGCAGCAAAAGAATTTTATGCCAAATATGAACCTAAAGAGGCTTTAGGAAGGTGAGGGATGACAGCTAGTGTTATACCGAGTTATACTGGGAAAAAATCTATAAAAATATTTTATCATAAAAAATTACTTGTCCATTAGTCAAATTTTTGGGTGTTTAATTTAAGTCCAAAGCTCTGTGTCTGACTTAAAAGTTGAGTCCTAGACAATCTGGTATTTTCCGATAGAGGAAATGTTTTAAGTTTGTAATAATTCTTGTTTCTTCTTCCTTTAAATCACATTAAATCATAATATTATATGATAATAATTCCAACCATTATTGTTTATAAAGGTCAGAACTTAATAAAATAAACATACTAGTATATATAAATGCATAAAACACAAATGCTCACAGATTTTAATGACCTTATATTTGTTTAAGTTGTTAATAAAAATCTACTACATGTGTCCATGCCTCATCCAAAATGTATTTTGAAACACAGGTTAATACAATAAAATCCCTTGTAAGAGGGTCCTGGCATTTTCCTCCAAAATAATCAGAAGAAATACATCCCACTTGTAAGAGAGTAGACCTATAGAAGAGAACAAATGGTATATGTATGTATATATGTCGAAGTTTTGAATAGGAATACATGTATAAAGAAAAAAATCTTTAAAAATCTTCTCAATATCAGCAAAGTTGTGATTAATCATATTGATATGGAAGCATTCTCAGGTAGTGTAGATTCAAGTTTGTTCAAAACATTACCCCAGGGGGTAGGGTGGAGCCACAATGGGGGATCAAAGTTTTACATTGGAATCTATAGGAAAAAATCTTTAAAAATCTTAGGAAAAAATCTTCAAAAATTTTTTTCTTAAGAACAGCAAAGCCTATAATGTTCAGTCATATTGATAAGGTAGTGTAGATTCATGTTCAAGTCATGATCCCCAGGGCCACAATGGGGGATCAAAGGAATACAGGAATAAATAGGAAAAAGTCTTTAAAAATCTGCTGCTCAAGAACAGCAAAGCCATGTGTTTAGTTACAGTGCTCCCCCGTTATAATTTTCCTGTTATAATGCCACCCCTGCCCAACCGCCAAAAAAATTTCAAGTCTTGATTTCCTTGCTATATAAAACCCTGTTTTACTGCCATCCACCAACATATTCAGGTACAAATGTGTCCATCACCGTTATTATCACCCTGATAATTACCACTTTTTTTCAACACTCGGATCGGTAGGTCCACGTTATGTTAAAATCAAATGATAAACATATACATTATATATGTCAGAAAAAATACATATCACTTAAAAAACCCATTTTAACCTGTTCAGAATAATTTAAAATTAATCGGTAAATATCATTGCATGGTCATTTTAGTTTTTAGCTCTTCTGATCCAAAGGCTCAAAGAGCTAATGCTATGGCCAGTTGTGTGGTGTGCGTAAACGTTTTAGAATATGGGCCATAACTGAAGAACCCCTTGGCCAATTATTGTCAAATTTGTCACAGGGTATCCTTGGCCCAAGGGCTCCCTTTTGTACTAAAACTAGGGTTGTGACCCTTAAACAAGGGGAGATAATTAGGAAAATAGAAACAAAAGTACTGGTTGCTAAAAAATCTTCTTCTCAAGAACCACTGGGCAGATTATCACCAAACTTACACAAAAGGATGAGGATATGTTGTAGATTAAAAATTGTTCAAGCCATCACCCTGGGGCAAAGGGTGTGGTCTCAAGGTCACTTCAAAGTTGACCAAAAATTACATATTTTGCTTACTATAAGGACTAGGATCATCAAATCTTGTCAGGTGATGCATCTAAGGACCTCATATCATGTTGACTCAAAAGTAGGTCACGATGACCTACTTTTTAAATTTCGCGGCCATTCTTTTTCAAAATGATTTAGAGGCATATTTTGAACAATTTAAGGCCTATGATCATCAAACTTTGTCAGTTGATGCATCTTGGGTCCTCAAAGTACGTCAACTAAAAAGTAGGTCACCTTGACCTACTTTTTGAATTTTATGGCTAATCTTTTTTAAAACAATTAAGGTCATTAATTTGAATACGGGGAGGCTTAGAATCATTAAATCTTGTAAGATGATGCATCTTGGGGCCATAAAACACATTTATTAAAAAGTAGGTCACAGTGACCTACTTTTTGAACTTTGCAGGCATTCGATTTCAAAGCGTTTTAGAGGCATAATTTGGACATTTTAAGTCCTATGATCATAAAACTTTGTAAGTTGATGCATCTTGGGTCCTCAAAAAAGGTCAACTGAAAAGTAGGTCACCGTGACCTACTTTTCAATTAATATGACTATAATTAAATATTTCAGGTACTAATTGGCTTAGAATCATCAAACTTTGTCAGTTGATGCATCTTGGGTCTTCGGAGTAGGTCGACTAAAAAGTAGGTCACAGTGACCTACTTTTGGAAATTTATGGCGTTAATTAAATATTTCGGGTACTAATTGGCTTAGAATCATCAAACTTTGTCAGTTGATGCATCTTGGGTCTTCAGAGTAGGTCGACTAAAAAGTAGGTCACCGTGACCTACTTTTGAAAATTTATGGCTGTAATTAAATATGTTGGGTACTTATTGGCTAGAATCATCAAACTTTGTCAGTTGATGTATCTTTGGTCCTTGGAGTACAGCAACTGAAAAGTAGGTCACGGTGACCTACTTTTGAAAATTTATGGTTTTAATTAAATATTACAGGTACTAATTAGCTTAGAATCATCAAACTTTGTCAGTTGATGCATCTTGGGTCCTTGGAGTAAAACAATTGAAAAGTAGGTCACTTTGACCTACTTATAAAATTTTATGGTTATAATTTTAAAAAATATTTTAGGTATTAATTGGCTTAGAATCATCAAACTTAGTTGATGGGTCCTCAGAGAATGACAAGTGATAAGTAGGTCACCATGACCAACTCTCAGGTACTAATTGGCTTAGAATCATCTTGGGTTCTCAGAGTGTGAATTGGAATTTCAAGGGTTTATCTAAATATACAGGATACCTCGAGGCTTCAAATAGAAGTGATAGGTTGTACAGTTTATCAGAAGAGCGATTCAAGGCCCATGGGCCTCTTGTATAAATAGAAGGACGGTATTGCAAGCATTTTAAATAAGTTGTTTTTTAAGTTAAAGCTGTTATAAATATTTCCTTTTTACTGTTGTATTTTTTTTGTTATTACATGTAACTCGTCGTCTTATTAACTGTGTCTTTTTTTTTATTTTTCTTTCTGTATGAACTACTTTCAATTTTAAAAATAAAATAATTTTAGTTGTCCATTTATTATGTTATTTTGTACACCATCGCCTTATGGTTCAATAACTTGGAAATAAATCAAACATGTCAACAAACACTGCATAACAAGGATGAAAAAGATATTTTGGTTGCGTGGCCATAAAGGGCTTTCTGTATTTTTTTTTAAGAATAAGCATACATATGTTTTTTTTCTTTTAATTTTCTTAATTGAATACAATTTTTATTTTAAATATTCACTTATCACATCTTTAAACAAATGAGTTTGATTTTATAAATCCCTCGATCATGCTTTCATTTCGTCTACCATTCTTTTTACATTCTTGTCGCTGTTGCTTCATAAAAAAAAATTCTCTTGACCGAATGATCAAACAAATAGAATGATCAAACAAACAATTAAAAAATAAGTTATTATTTTCATATTTATTTGAGAGGAATTTTAATTTTTTTTTTTTACATAGATTACTTAGGTGTTTGGCTCACTAGGAAAAATACATTGAAAAGTAATCGGTAGAAGTGCACACAATTTGTGCAAAATATTACTTATTTTTTTGTGTGCGTAATTGTTTTCCTTTTAACATAAATTTTCCATCAATGTGTAAAAACGCTTTTTAAAGGGAAGTTACAATCAAGAAAATGCTTAAGACAGCTTCAATTCCATCTACAATGTATAAATGTATATAATAAATATTGACTGCAAAGAAAGATTTCCAAAATAAATAATATGTCAAAATGTTTGTTTTAAATAGTCTGTTTTCAATTACCTAGAAAATGAGTAGTATGCAGCCATGCAAGTCCTCAAAAACTTTGAAAATGAGTAATTTGCCCATGCCGGGTGCTCCCCCCCCCCCCCCCCCCTTTGTTTCCTTGTCAAACTCAAACTTTTTCTATTGAAGATCTAGAAGAAAAGCTGACTACACATGAAATTCTACTTATCTGCTGATTAAAACTGGTTCATTGTTGTAGACTTACTGTATATAATAAAGCAAACTGTTGATACATGTGTGAATGTAGGCATATCTGGATTAAAGGGATTAGATACAGTTCAATATATACAGTTTAAATTTTTACCTGTGCACGTGTGATGACAATACTTGATCTTGAATTTCTTGAATTTTCCAATGTTTTAGAGTAAATAACAAAAGCAAAGACAGACGTCATTCTAGATAACAAGACAATGGCAAGAAATGTACAGTTGTTTCTTGAACAAATAAAATTGGGTGAACACGCATTCACAGACTAAGCATTTAAAAAAAAGAAGAAGAAGAAGAAGAAAGAAAGATTAAACTGTGCTTATTTGTAAATTCCAGGTAACATATTTTACCTGCAGGTTTCAGTGAATAAAGCAATGAAATGGGAAAATGCTTTAAATAAAAATTAATCCTGATATATATCCAGATTTTTTTCTTATGTGTATTAAACTGAAAATTCCATGCAAAAATGAGGCGATCGAACTTTTTGACAGTATCTTATATTGGCGATCATAACATCTTAGGTTGGTCAGAAGAATGTAAACCAACACATATTATTTATATATACATCACTTTCATTTATTTTTTTCTAGTGATTGAGAGACGTTTACATTTTAACATGTCCGGTCTCAAATTGACAATTTAGTTCGTAATTTTTTTTCTGCTAAATCTGTAATCATTTCTCCCCAAAACTATTACTTACATGAATAAGAAATGATTTTAAGGGCTTGATTTCGAAAAATAGCACACTCAGAATCCTTATACATTTTTCAATGTGTCTTGGTTTCCGAGAACGTTCATAGACACAAGAATAGGGTAGTCTGTCGAGTT